TAAAGCACCTACTTAGAACAAGCTTAGCTAAAGCACAGGGACCGCGGTTCAATCCCCCAGCACCACATGCCAGCCAGCCCCAGCCCCTGGTGGGCTGAGCTGGCCACACACACACACACACACACACACACATAAAAACTTTAAAAATTAAAAAAAAAAAACAAACAAATTTACCCCCTTTCCGAACCAGTTCCAGATGTGATCTATGTATAACAAAAGCAAACTGGGGAAGAGAGTAATTTTTTTTTTTTTTTTTTTTTTTTTGGCAGAACTGGGGTAAACTGGGGAAGAGACAGCCTGGGGAGCTAAGTGTCTCACAATAATTATCTCTGTAAATGTCCTTATCAACCTGTGTGTAGGTGACAAAACAGGTACCAAAAAAGAGAAATTTGTGACTATAGCACAATTAAGTAAGTATAAAACCACTAGAATAAAAATGTTTAAACCTGTATTAGGTTAAAATGATTGGTATCATTCTTGTAATTTCCTGTTCTTTTGTGGAGCAAGCCAAATAGTAGTGACTAAGAGCACTGTGGTCAGGAAGTCAAGGCAAAGATCAGCAACTCTGTGTGTGTAAAAGGTTAATGGAAAATATAGCAAAAAAAAAAGGCAAATAATTTTTTTTCACCCTAAGGATTAAACCAAGGGCTTCAAGCATGATAGATAAATGCTCTACCACAGAGCTAGTCTCTCAACTGCTGCAAATGATTTTCAGAAACATAACTTGGTAAAAACTATTTGTAAATAGTTGGGCATGATGTGGCATGCCCATAATCCTAGCACTGAGGAGGCTGAGGTAGGAGAATCACTGTGAGTTCAAGACCATCCTGGGCTACATAGTGAATTCAAGCAGTCAGGAAAACCAGTCTAAACTATAGACTGTCTAGACAGGAAAACCAGTCTAAACTATACAGCAGGACCCTGTCTCAAGAAGGCATGCAAGAAGGGTGAGAAGGAGGGAGGAAAAAGAGCAGAGAGAAAATTCTAAGTAGTCTACATGAAAAGTGAAAATGCAGTGGCAAAAATTAGTCATGCGCATGCATACACTTAGTATATATACGTATTTCTCTTAGTTGCTTCTTCTGTTGCTGAGACACCCACAAGTTAAAGAAGGAAAAGTGTGTTTCAGCTCAGTTTTTAGAGGTTTCATGCCAGAATTAGCTGGCTCTGAGGCAAGACAGCATGGCAGAAAGGCATCACAGAGGAAAACCAGTGCATGAGGTGACAGGAAGAAAGCAGCAAGCAGCGGGCAGCAGCCTGCCGTCTTCTGTCCCTTGGCAACGCTTAAACCCAGGGTGAGGCTTCCATTATTCACAGTCTTAATCCTAGTATCACACACCTGATCCACACTCTCACACCCTAATCCAGCTGCCTTTGAAATTCCCCACCTGTGAGTGCATGAATCTTCAGGGGAACATATATAAGCCCTAACAGTATCCATACTACATATTTATACACATATATACACATTCAGGAATCACACACTAATTTATGTATGGATGTATATACACATCCCTTCTCTTAGGATTCTCTATGGGACTGAGCGATAGCTCGGCGGCATAAGAGCCTCCCTGGCAAGTGCAAGGTCTCAAATTTAATCCCTGACGCTGGGGAAAGAAAAAAAAAAAAAAAAAAAAAGGAAAGAAAGAAAAAGAAAAGCATTCTCTATGCAAACGTCTTACACACCTCAGAGAAATAGCCAGCATTCACTCTTCATCACTGCAAGCATCCTTATATTCCTAATTGGCAGTGATTTTAAATCTTATATAGTCTTTCACATGATGGTCCACCTGTTAAATCACAGGAGCAACAGAACTCATGGGCAAAGGTCAAGGAATTACATATACTTATAAATGATCAGGGTCAAGGAATTTTATAGACTTATAAATGATCAGGGACCTCAGAGGTGAACAAATTAAACCACTGTTCCAATGAGGGGCTTTACAAGTATCCATCCACTGCCTGAATACTTCCAGTCAATTAGGAGCCTCTTCTTTTTCATGAGTAGAAACTTTATGTCATGGCCTTTAACATTTATCAGTTGTTCTTGCTTACAGTGTCTTCAATAAATCCACTCTTGTTCCACGAAAGATCTTTCACATATCCGAAGGCAATGATGCTGCCACCACTAAGTCTTTTCCTCTGCAGGGAAATAGTCCCCGTTCTCTTGGTTTCTCATGAAATGATTCCCAGGCCATTCATTTTAGTTACCCTCCAAAATATTTGTAAGGGATAGTGGCAACATCATTGTCTTTAGGTAAATCTTGCATTAGCTTCTTACCAGATTGTGCTCAATATGTGATGCATGCACGTGTGTGTGCACACACACACTTTTTTTAAAAAAATTTATTTATTTATTTATTTATTTAGCACAGGGTCTCACTCAGCCTCCCCAGTGCAGGGATTAAAGGCATGCACCACCACATCCGGTTTCAGTGACCATCACGGCTCACAGGCTGGCATGACGTGCAATACTTGCACTTGCTAGGCAGGTGCTTAGATCCCCCAACTATCTCCCCGCCTCTTATTTATTTTTAATGAAAGTTTTTGGAAGGAACTGGAGATTGAAACCAGGGCCTTCTATCTGAGCTCAAATCCAGCCCTTTGCAATGTTCCTTAAGTGCCCATTAGGTCAAGTTAGTTGGTAGTTTTGTCTAAATCCTATATACTTGCCAATTTTCTGTCTAGCTCTATCAATTATAGAGGACATTGAAATATACAATTATAAGCATAGGTTTTACTGTTTTATTTTGTAGTTCATGCATCTTGAAGCTGTTATTTAGGTGTACAAATGTTTAAAACTGTTATTTCCTTCTAATAATAGATTCCATCACAAAAAATAACTGTAGCTCTAGCGGTAGTCTTTGGCCTGAAATACATCTCCAATATTAATGCCAGCCAGTTCAGTTTTCTTTTGATTCATCTGAGCATATCTTTCTCATCATTTTAACTTATGTTTTAAATGTAAAGACATTTCTTAAATTGGGTGTGGTGCCCTACACCTCTAATACTAACACATAGGAGACTGAGGCAGGAGAACTACCTCAAATTCAAGGCCAGCTGGGGGTACACAGAGAGTTTAAGGCCAGCCTGAAGCACATTGCAAATCCCTATCTCAAAACAAAATAAAAAACAGGCATAGTGGTGCTCACCTGTTATCCCAGCCCTTGGGAGGCTGAGGCAGGAGGACTGCCCTGAGTTTGAGACCAGCCTGCGCTACAGAGTGAAACCTTGCCTCAAAAACAAAATTAAAATAAATGAATAAGTAAACAAATAAGAAACACTTTTTCTAAGCTACATATAATTGCTTTCTTTTCTAATGTAATGACATTTTTTTTTCCTATATTTAGGACAAGGTCTACAGGGTCTGCAGGGTTCAACACCCAGCACCACAAAAAAAATTGCATGTAGATTATAATCTTATAAACTAAGATGTTTCTCAAAATTTCTCAATAAGAATCATTTGGGTTGGGCATAGTGACACACTGCTATAATCTCAGCACTCAGAAGACTGAAAAAGGAGGATTTTTTTTTTGAGTTAGAGACAAGCCTGGGCTACAAAGTGAACTCAAGGCCAGCCTAAATTGCATAATGAAACCCTGTCTCAAAAAAACAAAACAAAAAACAATCATTTAGATTATGGCCAGGCATGGTGGCACATAACTGTAATCCCTGCACACAGAAACTGAGGCAGGAGGATCACCACAAATTTGAGTATACAAAAAGAGAGCTTGGGTTACATAGAGAGCTTGTTCCAAAATATTTTTTTAAAAAAGGCTAGCAAGATAGCTCAGTGGACTAAGTGCCTGCTTTGGTAAGCACAGGGACCAGAATTCAATCCCAGGTCCTGCATGCTAGGCCAGCCCTGCTTGCGGGGCGCACTGAGCCAGCAACCAAGTCCAGGCGTGGTGGTGCACACCTGTGATCCCAGTGCTGGGGAAGCAGAAAACAGGAAGAGCACTATGAGTCTGAGCTGTGTAGTCAGACCCTGTACCAAATACATAAATGAAAAAAATTTTAGGCCAGCAAGATAGTTCAGTGGACAAAGCACCTGCTTAGGCAAGCACAGGGATCAGGATTTGATTCCTAGCACCACATGCCATGCCGGTCCCATCCCTGGGCATGCTGACCCAGCCACTGAGACTGGGGGCATAGTGCTATATGTGGGAGGCACAATAACTCCAGGCCTCCAATACTATTGCAAGTTAATCTTTCTAAATCCTGTGAATCTGCCACATTATGACTCAGTGCCATATAGCCCTTAGTGGTCACCCAAGTGCCTCTGACCTATAAAATTCTCTTGGTGCATCAGCATCATTAGTGATGCTGATTTCCTCCTCCCCTACCTCTGATGAGCTAGGTTCCTAGTTCTTACCCCGCCTATTTCCCATAAGTCTCCTGCCATGCCCCTGAGGTGGGACTTCCTGTCATAGCCTCATTGCCTAGTTACTCCCGCCTTTTACTCGCCGACATCATTTCCCTATGTCTCCACTATATATACCCAGCACCTCCCCTAAATGAACGAGACTTGATCAAAATCCTGTCTTGTCTCTATTTCTTGCGTCTCCTGTCCTTTGTCCCCTCTTCAATTCCCCGCTCCTCTCCCAGGTGACCTTCGTTGACTAACCCGTGGGTCGGGACAGTATACACCTGAAATCCCAGCACTGGGAAGGCTGAAAGTGTTATAACCTGTGAAAATGATTCCAATTTTGTAACTCTGTATGCTTCCACTGTAACTTTATTAACTGTTATAACCTGACATGTGCCGCCATCTTGTTCTGTATGCGCCATTCTAAATGCTGTAACTTTCCACTGCACCCCATTCTCTACTTGAGAACCTGCAGTTGGGCCTTTCTCGCGCTGGCCTTTGTGCACACCTGAATCTAGTTCCGGCCCAATGCCCTGTTCTTGCCCGCGTTCCCAGCTACAAACTGTACCCACCACTGCACCTGTTATTGTTCATTAGAAACAGGTAATTTTTCAACGGTAGCCCCTACATGAACCCTTGATGTCAGCTTTTGTGGTTTATTGGCTTAAATACCCACTCCCCTCATCCTCCCCGCGGGCACCTCAGCGACTTGCCGGGGTGTCTGCCGCTGGGTACCAGCTAAAATAAAGCGCTTCTTTTCTTTTTGAGCCTACCTCATTTTTGAGTTACGACAGAAAACAGGAGGATCACTACAAGTCAGTGCTGTATAGTGAGACCCTATACCAAATACATGCACAAACAAAAAAAATTTAAAAGAATCATGTGGTCTGTTAAAAGGAGGTTTTAGGGAGCAATCTAACACTGCTGGGTCAGGATTTTATAGGAACATAAGACAGTACTGGGCCGGGGAGATGGCTCAGTGCAATACATGCTTCCCTGGTAAATGCATGGGCCTGAATTCAATCCCCGGTTCTGCCAAAAAAAAAAAAAAAACTAGAAAATGCACCCCACTGTAGTCACTGGGGTTCACTGGAACCCTCTTTTGGAGCCCCATTGTGGTTCTTTGTGGTTCTTACCATAGCTGAGGAAATCTTTAACAATGAGGAAACAGTATTTTGGGGGAAAAGTAGTAACACTGCAAGTAGCAATCTTGGGCTTATTTTCTGGCTTCTAAGTATCTATACAACCTAAGTTGCTTAGCTCCATTGTGCCTGTTTCCTTATCTATAAAGCAGAGATTAGGACTTCAGAATTGTTACAGGAAAGTGTGTAAAGGGTAAAAAATGCAATCTGGTTTTTTTTTTTTTTTTTTTTTTTTGTAACAGGGTCTCACTATACATTTCAGGCTACCCTTGAATTCACTATGTAGCTTGGCTGACCTTAAATATAGCAACCCTCCTGCCTCTGCCTCCAGCATGCTGGGATTATAGGCATATGCCAGCACATCTAGCTGGACACACAATCTTTTTTTTGGACAATCTTTAAAGATTAATTTTTTCTGCTTCCTTTAGAAAAAAGCAAAGGTATCTGGCCTATAATATCTAATAAATGTTAGTTTCCTTTCCTCTTGTACCCAAATTACACAGATGTTGTGGTATATATCTACCTAATATAACAAAGTTATACTTTTCTCTGTCCCTAAATTGTGAACCAAGCTGCTGAAAAGCATTTAACTAGCTCAGTTAGCTGCTTTAATCCTGATAAGCATCATTCACTTGTTGAAGAATACTGCTCCATTCTATCTCTAAAAGGTCAGTATATCTTTTGACAAACTTTAAAAAATACTAAAAAAAAAAAAAAAAAGCAAACATCATTTTACCAACTATTTTGCCTTAATTGAAATTATGGGTGCCAAGGAGATAGCTCGGTAGAATAAGCACTTGCCTGGCAAGCACAAGGGCCTGAGTTTATTCCCTAGTTCCGCAAAAAAAAAAACAACAACGGCATCTCTAAATCAATTTCTCTTGGTTCAATCCCCAGCACCACATGCCATGCCAGCCCTACCCTCAGGGTGGGCTGAGCTGGCCACAAAAATAAATTTCTCTCCCCACCCCAAAAAAGGCCCCTAATAGCTATACCTCTGTTATGTTTTTCTCTTGCATTGAAGCCAACTCATATGGATCCACAAAAAGTCCTGCAGGGATGGACTGTTTAATTAAGAGTCGGCAGGTTTTTAAGTCCTTGATGCTTTCTCCAAACTTCACTTTTATTAAAAGGTCTCTGTAAGATAAATATATTTAAAGGAAATCTCTTCACTCAATTGTTAGATGAGAGAGCATAACATCAAATTGATAATAGTAGAAACTATATTTAAAATTGATTTTCTAAGATATATATTATCAAATCAAGTGAAATATTTATATCATGTCAGAATAAACTATTGCATCTTTCATATATTACAGTTTAGCATCAATATAGAAAGAATCCAAAAATAGTCACATGTGGTTTTTTGTTTTGTTTTTTTTGGAACCGGGGATTGAACTCAGGCCCTTGTGCTTGCCAGGGAAGTGCTTATTCCACTGAGCCGTCTCCCCGGTCCCTTACATATGTATTTTTAATAGTTAGCAACATAATTTGATGGGGAAAAGAGAGTTTTTTCAACAAATGGTACTGAAAAAAATAGACATCTGTATAGAAAAAATACGGGTGAGGATGCAGCTCAATGGCAGAGTGCTTGCCTTCCAAGGAGAGGCCTTGGTTTCATCCCTAGTACCATAAAAAAAAGAGACAGAGACAATGAGAGACAGTGAGATAAAAAAATACTGACCTCTATCACATGCATAAAAATGAATTTAAAATAGATTACAAATCTAAACCTATCATCGCCCAGCTATCAAGAGTCAGACTCTAAGGGCCAGGGAAGATAGCTCAGTGGCATAAGTGCCTGCCTGGCAAGCACAAAGTCCTGAGTTCGATCCCTAGTACAAAAAAAAAAAAAAAAGAAAAAGAAAAAGGTTGAAAAAAAAGAGTCAGACTCTAGCCAGGCATGGTGGCACACACCTATAAATAGGAGCACTCCAAAGGCTGAGACAGGAAGATCATCACAAGCTCAAGGCCAGCCTGGGCTATAAAGTGAAATTAAGACCAGTTTCAACTACACAGAGAGATCCTGTCCCAAAAGGAGGGGAGGGGAGGAAACAGATTTCAGATCACAGCACAGGGAACACTTTCTAAGAATTCCAAGGCACAGTGGGTCATCCTGCTTAAGGAAACAGAAGCGCCTGGAGACTGGAGTGCCTGAAAGTCACAGCACCAAAGTACAGAGATGAAATTAGTGAAAAAGTGTTTCACAAGTTGAAATAGAAATCCCTTGAATTTTTGCAGCAGCTTAGTGTGAGGTTTAGGGTACAGTGTTGACTTGATCAGCTCTGGGACCTGCGCCCAGGACTGGTAGGGCAGACTTCTAGGAGTACCCGGGTGGGTCACAGAGATGTGGCCTTCAGGCTGATGCCTGCTCCCAGGACCCTTCTTCTCTGGCACTGTTCCTCAACTGACCATAGAATGAATCTTGTTAAAACATGAGCCAAATTAAACCTCTTTTTCTTTCAGTCATGTGTGTTGGGTATTGTCCAAAATGGACAGGTTAATAAACTAAGATGTATATAAGTAATATTTCACTACACAAGACTGGGTAAAAAAAAAATGTCTGAAGAGTTAAAAACTGAAAAAAATTCAACATTTCACAGAGGACTAAACATACATACTGATGCAGTCTGTAGAGACATTCAGAGGGTAAAGTACTAGTTGATAAGCTGGCTTAAGGTTAAGGGCCACTTTAAGAACTATAAAAAAGGAAGATCAATCTGACTTTTTAAAAAAAGTAATTTACCTGTCAACAGAAAAAAGCTAAACAGTCTCTATTTTTATTATTTATTTATTTATTTATTTTTTTTTTTTGGTGGAACCGGGGATTGAACTCAGATCCTTGCATTTGCCAGTCAAGCGCTTATCCTACTGAGCCATCTCCCTGGCCCCAACCGTCTTTAAAGGAAGACAACAAAATCCAAACTCAACAACATTCATCACAAAAACATTCAATTTTCATCATGCAATCAAATGTTACTAAACAGGCGTGGGGAGATAGCTGAGCAGCCTAAGCACCTGCCTGGCAAGCTCAAAGTCCCAAGTTTGATCCCCAGTACCGCATAACATGCTGGCCCTGGAACCCTGGGCACACCATACTAGCCCCCAAACCAAGTGTGATGGTGCAAGCCTATAATCCCAGCACTGGGTATGCTGGGACAGGAGGATCACTACAGAGTGGGAACTTCATAGTGAGGCTCTGTATCCAATAATAAATAAATTAATTTTTTAAAAATGCTACTAACCATACGGAGAATTGGGGAAATACAACCCACAATCAAGAAATATGAGTCAACAGGAACAGACCCAGAAATGACAGAAGTGTCAAAGTAAGCAATGTGCAATAAAAGAGTTATCATAAACTAGGGGTAATGGTGCACACCTCTAATCCTAGCACTCGGGAGACTAAAGCAGGAGGATCACTGTGAGTTTGAGGCCCGCCTAGGATATATAAGCAAGTTCAAGACCAGCCTGTACTATATAAACAAAGTGAGGCCCTGTCTAAAAACAAAACAAATGATGAAGGAAAGAGAAGATATTTTTTAAAGAACTGACTGTAATTTCAAGAGAAAAATAAAATTTCTAAAATATACCTGCATGTGATGAAAAGTAACTGGACACTGAAGAATCAAAGATGAAGACTTGAAAACAGTGCAAAAGAAACTATCCAAATTGAAGCACCAAGAGGAAAACAGACTGGAAGGAAAAAGGAGGAGCTTCACTAATCTATAAACAATATCAAGTCATCTAGTAATTAAGAGTCCTAGAAAAAAAAAAGAAAAGAAATACCAAAAACAAACAAACTAAAGACATAATGGCTGAAAAAAATTCTAAATTTTTTTAAGTACAGGAAATCAAACTCGAGCTTGCCAAGCAGGCACTGTGCTGCTAAGTTATCTCCCCTGCTCTAAATTTAATTCAAATTCTTATTCTGTAAATCCAAGGAGCTCAATAAATTCAAAGTAGATATACACAAGCCACAATAAGGCATTTTTAACCAGTCAGTGAAAGAAAATTTTAAAGTATCAAAGGAAAAAGGTACAGTATGTAGGCATCAACAATGACAAGAAAAGTCTGAAGACTGGGGTCACACAACATATTTAAAGTACTAAAAGAAGCCAGGCCTGATGACACACACCTGTAATCCCAGCACTGGGAGGTTGAGACAAGAAGGATCTCTGCAAGTTCAAGACCAGCCTGGGCTACAAAGTGAGCTCAAGATCAGCCTAAACTTCAGAGTGAGACCCTGTCTCAAAAAGAAAAAAGGTAGTATGTACATACATACATATATATACATATATACTAAAAGAAAGCTGTCAACCTAGAATTATATATCGAGGGGAAAAGTTCTTCAGAAATAACAGCAAAATAGAGACTAACAAAAGAATTTTCCACTATAGGAAATAGTAAAAGGCATTCTTCAGGCAGAAAGAAAATGATACCATATGAAAATATAGATCCATGAGAAACACATAAAGAGCATAAGAAATAGCAAACATCCAGGTGACTACAAAAGACTTTTAGTCAGGTGTGGTGGCATGTGCCTATAACTCCAGCTGCACCAGACACTGAGGTTAAATGGATGAGTTCAGCCAGAAATTCAAAGCCAGTTTGGGCAATATAGTGATACACCCAAGGAGAGTAAATCTAAATGAAATGGTTGTGATATGAGATTCATACTCAATTTACTCCAAATAAGGCAAGAAAGTAGAAACAATTAAATATATAGAAAAACAAATTTTAAAAAGTAGCAAGATAAAATTTAAACAAATATATCACCATTTGTAAAAGCAAATAATGCCATCACTCCATTTGAAAGGAAAGACTGAAGACTACATAAAACAATAAAACTTGGCCACATGCTGTCTACAAGAAGTGCACTGAATATAAAGACAGATTTAAGTTAAAAGTAAAGGATGAGGGCCGCTCAGATAGCTCAGCGGACTAAAGTGCCTGCTTAGGCAGACACAAGGGCGTGCTGAGACAGCAGTTGAGACTGGGCGTGGTGGTGTCCAACTGTAATCCCAGGGCTTGGGAGGCTGTAAACAAGAGGCTCACTATCCAATCTACGTAGTGAGACCCTGAACACCCTGTAGACCTTGTATCAAATACATTTTTAAAAAGGCTAAAAAAGTAAAAGATGAAAAGAAACATGCAAATAATAAATAGGAAATTGCTACTAAACATCAGAAAAAGTAGGCTTCAGGAAAATGAACATTGTAAGGAATGCAAAAGGACATTTGTTATGGCTTATGTCTAGATGTCCTCCCAAAGCCTTATGCAGCCATTGAGAGTGATTTTTCAGGGATGGCTGAATCTAAAGCACATGATTGATTCATTGTGCAATGCCAAGATGAAGGGTGCTACAATTAAAGTTAGGTAATCACTAAATTAGGCCACTTACTGGTTTGGTACCACACTAATCCTCATAGCTTGGATACATAAGGGATAGAAAAGGGTTTGTCTCTTCCCTTGCTTGCTTTGTTTCCTTCTGCTCCCCCTGAACTGTTCCCCTCTAAAATGCCTGTCTGTGGGCTGGAGAGATGGCTCAGTGGCATAAGCGCTTCCCTGGCAAGCACAAGGGCCTGAGTTCAATCCCTGGTTCTGCAAAAAAAAAAAAAAAATGCTGTGTAGTTCAGGCTGACCTTGATCTAACTATGGAGCCCAGGCTGGACTCAAACTGCTTCCCAAGTGCTGGGATTATAGGTACCATATCTGGTGAAAAAGCTAGTTTAAAAGAAATGAAATCAGCCAAGCATGGTGACACAAGTCTGGAATAACTGGGGGGGGGGGGGAGAGGGAGGTTAAGAAAGCAAATGACTTTTCAATTTATTCATTATTCAAGTGTCAATATTTTGTTCTAAATATAATAGTATTTTTTAGGTAGAAATCAATGGACAACATACCTGTGGAAACCATCTTTCAAAACTTCTTGCCTTAAAATGATTTCAGGACAAGTGGCTCTTGTGCCTATATGAATCAAAAGAATTTAAAATTAAACTAAGCAGCCAATGAAAGAATAATTATGTAATTTAAAAATGGCTTTATTTGCCAGAAAAACTGACTTAAAACTTTTTAAATCTAGTTTTTTTGTTTCTTTTTTTTAAACCAGGAATCAAACTCAGGACCTTGCACTTGCCAGGCAGGTGCTTGTGCCACTAAGCTACATCCCCAGCCCTAGGTCTAGCTTTTTTTTCTTTGCCCCCTGTATTTAGGGCAGGGTCTCACTTCAGACTCTAGCAATTCTCTTGTTTACAGCTTTCCAAGTGCTAGGATTATAGGCCACCACGCCCAGTCTTAATTGCCACCCAGCCTCAATTGCCGGCTGAGTGCGCTCTGGGGGCGGGGCCAGCACCACACACCTTTAGTCTGCTGAGCTAACAGGCTGGCCCCCTAAATTGAACAAAAAATAAAAATTTAAGCAGTTTAAGCTGCATATAAATTTATTTATTTATTTGTGGTACTGGGGATTGAACTCATGACCTTGCGCTTGCCAAGCGCTTATTCTACTATTTCCCAGACTCAAACGTATCTATTTTACATGTTGTGCATTAGTG